GTGCCTGTAATCCCAGCTACTCAGGAGGCTGAGGCAGGAGAATTGCCTGAACCCAGGAGGCGGAGGTTGCGGTGAGCCGAGATTGCGCCATTGCACTCCAGCCTGGGTGTCAGGCTAGTCTTGAACTCCCGGCCTTAGGTGATCCGCCCGCCTTGGCCTCCAAAGTGCTTGGATTACAGGCATGAGCCACCATGCCCCGCCAACTTTCTTGTTTTGATAGGACTACATATCGCTTTAATTTGTAAATGTAAAATAAACAATGTGTTTCAAAGACATAGCACAAAAAAAGAAAGACTTATTCGTAATTTTTATATTGAATGCATGCTGAAATGATAATGTTTTGGATGTCTTGGGTTAAACAAAATAATTATGAAAAAAATTTCTCTTGTTTCTTTTAAAAATTTTAATGTGGCTAATAGAAGCCATAATGTGATATGCTCACATTCTGTTTCTATTGGACAGTGCTGCCCTTTGGGATATCCTTTTTCCTTTGGATCCTAAATTCAGTTGCTGTGGTAATTAAGGGGGCCTCTGGCTCAGCATTTCCTGGAAGGCAAGGGTGAGATGGGGGAGGGGAATCGTCATCAGATCAGATTTTAACAACATCCTCATTAAAGCAAAGGAAGCAACAGCAATCTAGTTTTTTTGGGGCCCCGCAGTGTCAGTTTGAATTCTGGGTCCTCAACCAAAACAGTAAAGGAAGATGCACTTTCTCTAGTTCACCATTGGGAAAAGTTTTCTCTCTTTACTAAGCTTCCTTCACCCACCCCGCCACCTCCAGGACTGGAAGGGTTGCTAGCTACGAATTAATGGGCATTCCTCCCCCAGCAAAGCCTAAACATTATCTCCCACTTACCCAGCTGTTTAAACACAAACGAAGTTGTTTTGCTTTGTTTACTCTCACGCGGGAGCCACTGCCCTCTCTCCCCCATTATCCTTCATCTTCCTCGGTTCTCAGTTCTGTTCTCTTCTACTTAGCGTGTTCAGTTTTCTTGTATAGCTTAGTCATCAGATACTTATCTCACACTTTTCTTTCAAGAAACTCACAGTCCATAACTAATAGGATATTAATCTTTTCCAGTTATGTGAGAATTACTTGCCCTGGTCCCTTTTCATTATTTTATTTTTGAGATAAAGTCTCGCTCTTCACCCAGGTTGGAGTGCAATGGCACAACCTCAGCTCAATGCAAACTCTGCTTCCTGGGTTCAAGCTCTTTTCCTGCCTCAGCCTCCCCAGTAACTGGAATTTCAGGCGCCCACCACTGCGCCTGGCTAATTTTTTTTTTTTTTTTTTTTTTTGAGACGGAGTTTCACTCTTGTTACCCAGGCTGGAGTGCAATGGCGCGATCTCGGCTCACCGCAACCTCCGCCTCCTGGATTCAGGCAATTCTCCTGCCTCAGCCTCCTGAGTAGCTGGGATTACAGGCACGCACCACCATGCCCAGCTAATGTTTTGTATTTTTAGTAGAGACGGGGTTTCACCGTGTTGACCAGGATGGTCTGGATCTCTTGACCTCGTGATCCACCCGCCTCGGCCTCCCAAAGTGCTGGGATTACGGGCGTGAGCCACCGCGCCCAGGCCCTAGTCCCTTTTTATTAAAAAAAAAAAAAGGAAGGGCCGGGCGCGGTGGCTCACGCCCGTAATCCCAGCACTTTGGGAGGCCGAGGCCGAGGCCGAGGCCGGGGCGGGGGAGTGGGGGGACCACCAGGTCAAGAGATCGAGACCATCCTGGTCAACATGGTGAAACCCCGTCTCTATTAAAAATACAAACATTAGCTGGGCATGGTGGCGCGTGCCTGTAATCCCAGCTACTCAGGAGGCTGAGGCAGGAGAATTGCCTGAACCCAGGAGGCGGAGGTTGCGGTGAGCCGAGATCGCGCCATTGCACTCCAGCCTGGGTAACAAGAGCGAAACTCCGTCTCAAAAAATAAAAATGGAAGAAGAGAAACACTATAAATGCCTTGCGGAGCAGAAGTCTTTTGTCCTATTATTCACTGAACAATACCAGCTTCTCAGAGTACCTGATACATAGCACGTGCTTAGCAAATATCTGCTTAATTGAACTTACTGCATTTCTAGATGCTATAAGCTTGAGACTAGCAGAAAGTGATGCAGAATTCAGAATGGGTGGTATGGCAAATGCCTTATTAAAGAATATGGATGGCTGAGCGTGGTGGCTTATGCTTGTAATCCCAGTGCTTTGGGAGGCCGAGGTGGGCGGATCACCTGAGGTCGGGAGTTGGAGACCAGCCTGGCCAAAACGGAGAAACCCCGTCTCTACTAAAAATACAAAATTAGTTCGGTGTGGTGCCACATGCCTGTAATCTCAGCTACTCGGGAGGCTGAGGCAGGAGAATCCCTTGAACCCAGAAGGCGGAGGCTGCGGTGAGCCAAGATCATGCCATTGCACTCCAGCCTGGGCAACAAGAGCAAAACTCCATCTAAAAAAAAAAAAAAAAAAAAAAAAGAATATGTATGTATTCCATAAGCAGTTGAACCTCTTCTTCCTGCTGCCCTGATAGTTGATCTGGCTCTGAAAAATTCAGGTTTTCTTCCCTCCTGGTGAGATTATGCTAATCAGAGAACATTGGCCAAATTCTTTCCATGATTTTCTTCTCTCAGGCTGTATTTCCCTTCCGTTTTGTAGACCTAGCCTGTAGTAAAAAAAGAAAGATAAATTCATAGGATCAAGAATTCTTACTGTTTACACTCTTTCTAACAACGTTAAATCTCTGATAGTAGCACCCACTCGACTTTACTTTTTTATATGGATAGATTTCTTCCCATCTCTCTGTAGCTTGTTTTAATTCCAAGCAGATCCGAGAGCAAAAAAGAGTGTATCTGCCCTCCCTCCAGGCTTTTCTGGTCCCATTTTGTCTGTGAAACTAAGAGGCTGTAGCTGCTATTAGAAGAGGGAAGGAGTAAGGATGAGCTTTTGAAAAAAAAAAAAAAAAAACCCGGGTGGAGAGAGTGGCAGGATGTGGGTTTGGGAGGGCGGGGGAGGGAGGGCGTTATTGTCTGCGGGCGGGGGCGGGGGTAGTTCTGAAGTTCTGATAACACAGGATTCCGAGAGGTCACAAGATTGTTTGGAGGGGGGGCAGGCAGGGGTGGGGTTGGGGGCTCGTCGCCCTTTCAGGCTCCACCCTTTGCGAAGATTATAAATAGGCAGGATCCCAGCCAGACCGAGAGATGCTGTAATGGTGAGAGTTGAGAGCGTCCCTGAGGACCTGGAGAGGACTTGCTGCTGAGAAGGACGTTTTGAAGGTTTCTTTGGCTGAAAAAGGTGTCTGTGGAATCACACTCCTAGATCTTTCTTGAAGACTTGAAAAGAATTAGATCAGGGCCATGGGGACACAGAAGGTAAGAATGATATGATTACTGGTTATTTTTGCTTATTTGGGGTACACTCAGAAAGGCAAATCTCAGTGGTAACTGCCGTGCTGTTTTCTCCTAAGTCACCAAGCCATCTTAAGGCCTTTTCATTTCTCCTCTAGCCTGCGCTGCTACAGCTCCATCCGTTTTTCTTTGAATGTCATACAGTTCTGTTCACC